AAAAAAAAAAAAAAAACAGGCAACCCCGAAAAAGAAATGCTTCCAGTAACTTCTACAAATCATTTAGTCCTTCCTTCATAATAATTTATAAAGTATTGGTTTTAATTTAAAAGCCTGCATGAAGAACAGGCTTCTATGGCAAGAGATATAATCAGAAAATAAGACACTGTTTTGGATTTTTTCGGTATTAAGGATTAAACTGAAGGGCACTCTACTACTGAGCTACATCCCCAACTCTTTTTTTCATTTTGAGAGTCTGAATTCACCAGACTGTCCTCAAACTTATGATCTTCCTGCCTCAGCCTACTGAGACTGAGTAGTTGGGATTATAGGTGTGTGCCAGTTGAGAAAAAAGATGGCCAAAATAAACATCTCTATAGAAAGCTAAGCAGTTGGTTATGACTCACAACAAAATTGTAGTGCTAGTTGCTACCTAACTCTAGGATCTACTAAAAATCAGCATTTTTTTTTTTTTTTGGGGTGAATGATGGGCCTTGCACGCCAGGCAAACATTATTTTCACTTGAACCCTTGTTAAAAGTGTGTTTCTGGAAGAGCTCAAAACAAGGGTAGGACCGTTTTTATTTTGCCTTTTTCTGACATGAAAGAAGAGGCAATGGAAGTTGGAACCCTGGATCAGGGCTCACCACACCAGCAGAGTAGTTAGGGAACCCACGCCGGCTGATGAGCACAAAGGAGAATTTTAGAGGACAGGTTGGGAAAAGGGCAGTCACAAGTTCCAGGGCAGTGAGGTGCGCTCTTGCCAAGGCTCCTTAGCAGTTTACTGCTTAAGCAGAATAAAGAACACACCTGGTGTGGGGTTGCTATCGGGAAGCTACAGGCACCTTATTCAATTTCAATTACAATCAAATTAAAACCTCTAAGTTCGCTGCTTTACTGCAAACCATACATTCCCTTTCAGAAGGCCACAATAGGAAGAAAGGAACCACTATAGCTGAAAGGCCACCAAAATTGCTTGGGAGAAAATTCCCAAAGATCACAGTGACAGAGAAGCAGGAAGTACACTGACCAAGATTCCATCTTTCCACATGAGATTCTAAAATAAACTGTACAAGAGTCACTCTGCGTTCCCAGAATGCACCGCAGTCCTCAGAAAACCTAAGCGGGCCAAGGCTGTGAAGTGGGCTGTGTTTGAGGCCAGCAGGCTCTACAGGGGCAGGATGGATGTGAAGTCAAAAAGCCAGCATGTAGTTTGAAGAGGGTCAGGACGGCCTCACTAGATGGCCAGACATCCTTGTTTTATCTTGGAACTATCAGATTAATGTATTGAAAGAGAGTTGCTTCATCATATTTGAAGACTTACAATCCTGGGATCTTAGCAAAGACATTCAAGAGGAGCCATGCCTGAAAGTGGGGAAATGGTCTGTACAATGTCAAAAAGAATATTCAGAAGCTCCCAACGAAATGGTTGTATGTATAAGTGTGGCCAAGGGGATCACTGGCATGCAACTCACTGATTCCAGCAAGACTGATTCAGATGAAAAATGGTTCCACTGACAGCATATTTTTTGCAACAAAAGGGGTGATGCACGTAGGAAAGGACCAAATGCCGAAGCATTGCGAGGTATGAAGCAGACCTACCCTTTAGCGTGAATGGGGCACAGGTCATCAAACCAATGTCTAGTGTGCTGCTGCTATTGTAAAAGCCCTGGGCCCTGGTTTTTAAAGAGGCTACAGTGCCACAAATGTAAGCAGCGATTTCCCGAGGCTTGTGTGCAATGCCTCTAAAAGCCAGTGTTATTTGGAGACAGACCTTAACACCTCTGCTCTGTCTGCAGTTCTGGAAACTTCAGCCTCAAAATACTGAACACAAAAAAATAATATAGAGTTGACATTAAGGAAAAACTGAACTTATCCCATAACCTCAATTACCCAGCATCTGAGGGTTATTTCTGGATTTTGTTTGGTTTTTCCTGTTCTAAACAGGAATTTTTACTATCTGACATTTTATCAGAAAATACATCACATAGAAATTAACTTGGCACAAGTAGAGTTTCACTCATTTCCTATTTCTGGGAAGTGGAAATATGTCATCTTCTCTGTCTCTGAAAGGGCCACGGTGACCTCAATTATCAAATATTCAACACTGTTACGGACCACAAGTGGAAAACAGGGAAGGTATCTTTAAGGCTAGCTCAGTTTTCAAGTGTAATCACATATTCCCTCCACTTCCTGTCTTTTCCCAGCCTCCTCTGAGCAGCTCAAAGAAGGAGATGGGTCTAACTAAGGTCAGGGAGAGGAACAAGCTCTTCTTGTCTCTTTTTACCTCAAGGGCTGCTTGTATATATGAAATGTCCAAATCCTGACAACAGGATTTTGAGTTTGACCTTCAAACCAAAAAAATCAAGACTTGGGCGCAGACACATAAAAAAAGCTCAACATCAGTTTCCATGTTTAAACAACAGAACAACTGAGCACTCAAGCTCACAAGGTCCCCAGTGAGCCTCCAAATGTGTTGTTACTTCTTTTCTCAAGGAAGGAGGCCTAAAAAGAAAAAAAAAAGGAAAGTCCCCTCCAAGGAGAAATCTATTACTGAGTCTGCATGGTCAAGCTAGCAGGTTGGTTCAATCACACAATTGTGAACCAATTACCTGTGGATGTTTTTGGAGCTTCTTTATTCTTTTCTAATCCTAATATGGCAAACTGGCCTTTTGGGAGATGTGCTAGCAGAGGTCAGATGCAGGCCCCACTAAACCTTTAGATCCAGGTGTACAATAGTCCTCCAACCTACATCAAGTCTCTGAATTCATACTTGCTCCACATCCAAGTAGGAGAGGGCAGTCTGCTAAATCTCCTCATAACACCAGTCCTTCTGGTTTCTTTGTGCTTCATCAAGTGTCTACTTGTTTTTAACTGAACACTGGCAATTTCTTCTCCACATGGCATCTATGAAAGAAACCTGAGTGGTAAAGGCTGTCTTTATATTTCATCACAGTGGTTACAAACCCCAAACTGGAAAAGCCCAAGGATGACACAGTCACTACAATGCTGTACCTTTCCCTAGATGGTTTCTATCAGTGGAACAGAAACATAAATAATTATTCACACTTCTCTTCTTTAAAGACACTAAGTACTTTTGAGATTTTAAAAGCGAAGCTGAATGAATGATCCATTTAAACAGAAAAATTTATCATTCAATATGATTACAATGGATTTTAGGGAAAATGGATTGTTTGAGGAAAATGTAATCAAATATAGGAAAACAAAAAGATTATTACACATGACAATTAAAAATACAATTACTTTATTTCCTGTTTTACTTTCCCCAATATTGTATCTGATAGGAATCTTCATCTCTAAAAACACAAAAATATTTCAAGAAATCATGTTGTAAGCTAGTACATATAAGCAATAGTTTGGCAGAATGTATCAACTACTTCATACCCCAAAAAAGAACTTTAAAATTCAAAAATAACCATCAGCTTTATTTGACATATGTTACATCTTAACATTTAAAATATCATGCTCTAGTTAAATATTTCATCAACACTGTATACAAATAAAATATTACACAAAATATATTTAAGAAAATGTTTTGGTCTTTGATCTGAACAATAAATAAAAACACAGGCACTTCTACACTGCAACAGGGAAGCAATCACTACCTAGAATAATAGTTTTGCATAAGCAACATGTGAAAATATGGCAAGAATAGAATCCTAGAGTTTTAAGCTGACAAACCACTTAAAGCATCTGCAACTTCCATTTTTACACTTCAAGTTCAAAAGTCAGATACACTTTCCTGACCCACACTGAAAACTTATAAATTTATATGAATGGCTGTCAGGGGAGATTCAATCTTCACTTGGCCATTATGGAATCACACAATTTCAAAATACTAAAATTATGTAACTATTGTGACACCACTTATAAAAAAAAATTAAACTCCTTTTCATGATCATAAACTTCAACAAGATAAACTGGGTATGTCTTACAGTAATAATTATTTTATAAAATTAACTATATTAACACAACAAAATACTGATAGGGTGGCAGGAAACTTTGACAGAAATCCATTTTCTAAACAATTTTTAAAATTTATCCACATCTCATGAAAATAACATAATTCCATTTCACAAAAACCAGAGTCATGAACAAAAAAATCTTGGTAACTAAAAGTTCACAAATACCTGAACTACAGATAAATCAATTATTATAATGGAAGAAGGAATATTCTCACATAGAAGAGCAAAACAAGCCAGGCGTAGTGGTGCACGCCTGTAATCCCAGCACCTGGGAGGTTGAGGCAGGGGGATCACTGTGAGTTCGAGACCAGCCTGGGCTACAAAGTGAGCTCAAGGCCAGCTTGAACTGCATAGTGGTGAGACCCTGTCTCAAAAAAGACCAAAAAAAAAAAAAAAAAAAAAAAAACAAAAAAAAAAAAAAACTTACAGTGGTCAAATTCTAGAAACAAGATGCAGATAAGAAGAGGGGACAAATTAGAAAATAATGACCACCAGTCAGTAAAAGGGATTAGAATCAATCTCCTGCCATATCCTCCATAAAAAATTGTCATCTGCTTTTTCCATCACAAAAGTACCAAATTCAAGGGTTTGGAGGCCCTCAAATGGATACTATTTATAAAGGCAATTCTGATGGTTTAACGTACAAATTACCTAATGTGAAAATACAATATGGGAACTAGTCCAAATATGCCTTTCTATGCAAAATTTAGCTTGTATATATTTTAGCATTTTAAATGAGCACTTTGCAACCTTGACCAAATATCAATCATCTCTTGAGGTTTTCTACTATGTACTAACATCAAATCTACATAGGAACAAATGTTATTCCTGTTTTTCTCCTCGATATCAAATGTCCTGAAGCCTTTGTGTTTCTCTGGAACAAGGCCGAGTTTCTGAAGGCACATTCCAGTATACACATCATCGATGGGGTAAAGATGGACCCGGTCAGTGACACTGTACAGCCTCAAAGCCAAGTGGCCGGAGTAGAGGAAGCCACCTCCTCCTGCATAAGGTGGGTAGACCCCGGAGTAAACAACTTCTGGGATGTAGTACTTCAGTTTCTTATCCCGATGGGGCCCAGCATTGTGGATCACATCACCTATAAACAAATCTTCTGCTTTGCTCTTGGATAAGCTATTCAAGTAATTTAGGATGTGATGGGTGTTCACAAAAACATCATCATCGCCCTTGAAAACAAACTCCGCGTCTGGGCAGGAAGTACTCACCCACCTGAGAAACAGCACTTCCTTCAGAGACAAGTTGAAGAACGTGTCCCTGTAGTTCCACATAAGAATGTCCTGGTGCTTCTCACTTTCGAACTTCAGCATATCTGAAAGGTCTGGATGGTTGTCCTCTGGGGGGGTCTGGCCCAGCAAGAAGACTCGCACAACGGTCTGGTTCCCCACGTTGGTTTCTCTGCCCCAGGATTCCCGAATTGCTTGTCTTCTGGCAAAATGTGGAGTGAGTGACTTAATTGCCAGCAGTAAGAAGGGTTTCTTTGCACATTTATTTGGTTGATCTATAATCAGTGAATAATTTCGACATCTCAAATATAACAGGAAGTCTTTAAATCTGTCTGGCAAATTGTTAAAGTCTGTTATGACTGAGGTGACCCTCAGGTCAGGTTCACAATAATTCAGATGGCTCACATTGGAAGGCCCATAGCCATCCCCTGTCTGGTTGCCCAGCATGCTCAGAATGGGATTGTACCGCCTGTTCAGCTTTTCTTGTTCTCTGTTCCAGTATGCCTGAGGAGGACTAGATATCTTCCAGAACTTCTGTTTGGGTATTATTACTTCCCCCTTTCTATTTTTTTCTTGGCTACTGCTCTTGGAGACTTCCACAATCAAATAAATGAAGACATTTGCCATCATCAGGATGCCCAACAACTTTATCCTCCGACGTCCAACACTCATTTCTCATATCTGGAATAAAAAAGAGGGAAACACTGCATTAATTAATTACTCATTTGCATTCGCACGTACTTTCACTTGCCTTTTTGTCTCCACAAGAGCAGGAGTTTATAGCAAGGGCTTCAGACTTGCTGGCTCTGGTTTAAATCATGGCCCTTCCTCTCTAGCTTTGTGACCTTTCAAGTGGTACAACTGATGTCTCACTTGCTCCATTTATAAAGTCGGGGCAAACCCACTTCCGACGATGGTTGTGATAAATATATGTTGTTTTACACAATGCTTCTAAAATTATGCCTGGCAGACAGCTAGCAGCACTGTTGTTTTGGAGACCCTAAAACAGGAGATGAGGTGAGGATTACTAAATAACCTCACAGGAGTCCAACTTCTTTGCTTACAAAGGTACATACAAATCAGTACTTTGCAGACTGATTTGCTTACAATTCATAATAACAAATGTGTTTTATATTATGATCCAATCAACACACACACATTGCTAGTGTGTGTTGCTAGTCTCAATTCTGAATTATTTTACAACCCACTATTTCATGGACAAGGAAATAAAGAGGGTAGGTACAAAGATGCTTGCGCAGGGTGCAGGGTTAGGAAGCAAAGACAACATTAACCACCCTGCAGATTCAGAGATTAAAAAAAGACTCTAACAGCTTGATCCTAATAACCAAAATCTGAGAACACCACAAATGATTATTTAACTTGTGTATATTCACACAATGGACTGCCCACCAGCAATAAAAAGGGAAATCATTTTTATCAGCAATAGCACTCAACCAAATCCCAAATTTCAATTTATATTAGCTTCGAGAGTAGGCAAAATCATGTCACCAAAGCAGGAAAGGACTCAACAGGCTCCCAGGTCCTAGGCTAGGGTGGACACCGGTAGGATGGAGGTGACTTTTGAGCAACACTTGAAGGACACAATGAAGAATCCATCCCTTCTTAACCTGGGTCGCCATGGGACCCTATCAGATGAGCATGCTAGGGTTATCTGTTCTGGCTCTACAAGCAGCAAGATGACCTCTGACCTCACTGATACATATTCCTATCGTGTCAAGACTCCGGTAACAGAGCACTACGATCTACAGACTAACAGCATCGCGATGGCAGTGCACAAAACAGCCTCTGAACGTCTCCAGTCAGTTCCACTGCAGCCTTTTATAGGGGCTCAGTCCTACCTATCAATAATCTTGTAAAACTAATACAGTTCCAGTGGTCAGGCCATTCACCTGATGTGCACTGGCTATTTTAAAATGTTTATTTTAGAGTAAGTTGCTTTCTAAACAGCTTGCCAGGATATTAGTAGGAAACGATCACATTTTGAGACAGCTCTAGGTTACTTTGTACATAGAGTTTTATGTTCAATAAGTCTGTGTAGGCACGAAAACAAAAAAAAAAGAAGAGTAGGCAAAAACAAGCCAGGACCCTGACATCCAAAAGCAGCAAGGGTTGGGGATTTGGCAAAGGGTAGGAGGGACTTTCTGGGGCACAGAATGTACTGTGCATGCACTGATCTGGGTGAGGGCTTCGTGGATGGATATGTTTGTCAAGATCTCAATTGTGTACAGCAAAAAGAAAAAGACAAATGACATTTCAGTGACTAATAGAAGAATTTTAGGCTGTAGGCAACACAAGAACAAAGAGTGAGGAAATGTTTGTTAGGAACAACTCCCAGATTCTAACACTACTGAAATGGATGACCTCACAAGAGCTATTCAGCCAAACCTGACATTAAAAGGATAGACTGGCAATCAATACACCACGAAGACCAAAAGGATTTTCTCATCAGGTTCATGTGACAACTGGGAACTTAATCCTTAAAAGGCAATGTTCCTTTTATTCCCATTTTATACCTAGGGTAACACACTGGAGAAATCAGGGCAGAGCTGAACTCCTAGTCAAGGCTGTGGGATTCCAATGGCAACTAGTCTTCTCCAACTCTAAAACAAACTTGTCTATTTTAATCAAAAGCAGCATTTACTTTTTAAAAATAGAAGTGGATTTTTAAAGTTCACTGGGTTATAACAAATAATTCAAGTGGAAGAATATTTTCCTGCAGAGAATGCTGTGAAACTATTACATGCTGGGCAGCCCCGTGAGATCAACAGGAATTCACAGCTATATTCTGATTATTATTACCATTATCATTATTATTCAGATGTAAATCAGAGCCACTCTACCACAGGAGTATATCCCCAGCCTTTTTTTTTTCCCCCTTAAATTTTGACAAATGGACTCACTAAATTGCCTATGTGTGATTCCAATCTGTGCTCCTCTTGCCTCAGACTCCAAGAGTGCTGGGATAATAGGTGTGCACCACTGTGTCCACTTCTTTTTTCTCTTAGTCTATCTAGTAAATCTTAATCTAGTGACCTGTATTCACTATTGCTCAACAGCTTTAACTATCAGCATATAGTTAGCCCTGCAGTCCAGCCCTCCATAACTGCTGATCAAAAATATAAAAGGAAAAAAAATGTACTGTACTAAACAGGTATAGACTTTTCCCCATTATTATTCTTCCCATATGATAAATAATCTTCCTATAATTTAAGGGACATGGGAGGATATGCATGAGTTATATGCAAATACTATGTAAGATACCTGAGCATCCACAGATTCTGGAGGTTCCTGAACCAAACTTGCACAGATTCTGATGGACAACTATAAGTAAAGGGTTTGTTTTATTATTTTTTAAGAGACAGACTCTCACTCTGATGCCCAGGCTGGCCCCAAATTCCTGGACTCAAGCAATCCTGCCTCAGCCTCCCAACTAGCTGGGACTACACGAGTGTGCCACCAAACCCAGCTTGTTTGCTTTTCTTCTTTAAAACCAGTCCCTGCCCCAAACTCCCAACTCCCTAAAGCTTTGCACATCTAGAAAGCATGGCAGATAAGAAAGGGATATAGAGGCTCTCAGTTCACCTAAGCAAGCAGCCTCCCGCCACCACCCCATCTCCTTACTCCGTGTCACTCCCCACTCCTATCTCTCCAGCACTCCACCACCAAGTCAGCAGGACAGAAGGCCCTTCTTATGCTTCCCTGCAAAGAAAAACCCACAAGACATCTCCTACTCCTTAACTGGAATTTAAAGTACTTCAAGTTATTCAGCCTAAACAACTTCCAACCATCCACACCTAAATTTTGGCTCCACACCCCTTTAGGTCAGCTCCCTTCAGCAAAATTTTATGAGCTCTCTGAAGATCTGAGTCTGGTACATCTCAAACAACCTCACTTGCATGATATGCAAAATAAAGTATTTGCACTGATTTACAAATACATTAGCAAATTTGCAATGTATTTGTATGGCTGTCAATAAAGCGTCTGTCACCTCTTTTAGAAAATCAATCGTGGCTGGGGATATATAGCTCAGCGGCACAAGCGCCTGCCTGGCAAGCACAAGGTCATGAGTTTGATCTCCGGTACTACCAAAAAAAAAAGAAGAGACTTGAACTCACTAACTGTAATAATGAAGACAAAATCAATCATAGCTAGAAGGCAGCAAGGAAAAATATGATGAATGGAGAAAAACTATGAGGAAAAAGCCTTGGAAAGGTACCCCGCAAGAAATGGTACATTCTATGAACAGCATAAATTTCAGCTTGGTACGGGAATTTAGACACCAATAAACTATTCCTGAAACTGCCTGAGTAAAAGACGACAGCTTATAGAAGAAAGGGCAACAGGCGCACACACACAGCACCAGCTAAATATTACAGAAGAGTTAAACTGTACAGTTGACATGAGACCCAGTGGCTCTGGATGCAGGGCCTTCCATGTTTTCCTGTTTCTACGGAGCAAAGCACACTCTCAGAACCTGACCCAGGTTCACAGTGAAGTCTCAGGGGCAGGCCAGGATGGAGAGGACCCTGGAGTGGGGTCATGTGTACTTGAGTCTCCACAAAAAGGGAAATGGCAGCATCTATTAGCTCCTGTCCCTTCAGAAAAGGGGCCAGCCTTTCCTGGAAGAGCTGACACTTGTCTCAAAAGTTTGGTTTGGACTTTTTTTTTTTTTTTTTTTTGTACCAGGAATCAAACTTAGGACCTTGCACTTGTTGCTAGGTAGGCGCCTGTGCTGCTGGGCTATATCCCCGGCCCAAAAGTTTGGTTTGTAGCAAACTGCTAAAGAGTATTTCTTCCAAACCTAGTTGAGGAGGATGGGCGCCAACACTAAGATTCTCAGTTGCATATTCCCACCAGGCTAGATGTCCTCTTTCACTTGTGACTTAGGCACAGACTTGCATGAGAACTCTTGATTCAAGATACTTATATTGAACTGAAGTTCATGAAAACATCTGTGGGAAAAAGTATCTGACTAAATATTCCCACTGCAGCCATAAAACCCAACTCTGTGTCCTTTTTTGTGCAGGAAGTTACATTGCTTAAAAAGAATTTGGGGAAGAATTACTCCAAAGCTGGGGAAAATGGCACAAACTTGTGAAACACCGTATGTAGCAGAAACAGGAGGAAAATCCTATATACAAAACAAAGAACTGTTTTGCATTCAACTGTCTACAATACTTCAGTTGATTTTGTTTAACAAAAAAACACCTCCTTCTTTATTTTGCAACTAAAATATTTAGAAAGGCAGTGTGGAAACAGGAAAGTGTTAGCTGAAGATGGATTACAAAACACCTAACTTAAGCTATGTGACTATCCAGATAAAATGCCACAGGCAACAGAACTGGTTTGCTCGGGCAGGAGGACAGTTCCTCCATGCAGCCTGCACTGCACATCTGAGCCATGGGCAAAAGGAGGGAGGGAGAACACGGGCCTGGGACAGGGCTCCCATCTCAGCTGTGCAGAGCAGCTCAGCCTCACCTAGCCGCCTCGCTGTCGCTGACCCCAGTGCAGGTCTGTTGTTACCTTCTTTCACCTCAGATCACCTGCTCCCTTCTCCATCTACTAGGAAGGTCTCCTAAACACAGTGAAATGTGGACACAGCTGCTGTATTTTAATAAACATGTACCAGGAACCAGCAGTCTTGTTGGGCAGCCTTTCTA